AACCCATTTTTTGAAAGTGGTCAAAATAAAAAGATTTTGGTCTCGATGGATTAGAAATAGAGTGACCATCAACGTGGCATACCCAAAATGTTCATAGGTGGCGCCACTCTAGCGGACGACGCCTTTAAAATCAGCTGTTTGTATGCAGACCAACTGGCAGAGTGAAAATGAGTAATAAATGGCAATTTTAAAATTACGAAAACTCGGAAAAATCATACCGAACTGAACCAAATTTTTTTTTTAATTGAATAAGTAACGTTTGAACTACTTTTTTTGTGATGGGAAATGTTTGAAGCTAATCTGTTATTTTTGTTATTTGATGTTAAATTTTGTCTTCAAAAATATGTAAATTTTCATTAAAAGCTTGTTTTTAAAAAGCTATACAAAGTGAGTCCCACCTAGTCCCACCTTGAGACCTATCGGGATTTGTAGGGAATTTCATACTTGTTTATTTTCATATAGTGAAAAATGCCACTTTTGACCACATTTCTTGGAATTGCCTTAAAAGATCACCAAATTTTGTATGAATATTTTTTTTGTATGATGCTTTTAATGAAAACTATAGTAATTCGTTAACCGATTTTGATAAAATTTTGTGAATTTAGTTAAAATGACATTATTTTTACGTTACCGAAGTTTTATTAATTTATCTCAAAATGTATTTTTATCGTTCCTATGACAGCTATAGGATATAGTTTTCTGATCCGGAAAATTTTTATCCAGTATCATCCTATAAGTACTAAATTACGATTGGGAAGTTTCAAGTCGATATCTTTGAAATTACCGGAGTTATTCATTTTGGCCTAAAAAAAAGTGGTCCGCTGGACCATAGTGCAGTGGCGCAACACTAATGGGATATAGGATCTAGTAGTTCTACATGGTACGTGGAAATTAAGCTAACTCAACAAGTCAGCACTTTCCACATCACCATGGATAAGGTTAAAAATAAAGGTTATTCCTAGCATCGTTCTACGATTGGCTAAGGACGGTAAATTTATTAATATGAGTCTATTAAAGTAGAAAGGTAATCTTTGGTTTGCATCCCAAATTAAACCGAGTAGAGCGAAAAGTAAAAAGTTCTTTTGAACCGACTCGATGCGTTTGCTATAGACGCCGGGCTGATGCTAAGATAAGACGAACTGAAGAAGTATATAAGTATTTAGTAACATAGGGGTCATTGAATTCCTTCGACCACCGTTTAATAAATCCAAGCACACCCCTGGCTCTATGGTGAATACACGAAATATGATCAATAAAGTCAAGTTTTGGGTCCAAACGGATGCCCAAATCATCAACAGAATTAATTCTTTCCAAAGAGCAGCAGTTCAGAGTATAAGTATCAAGCTAAGGAACGACACGAGAGAATGTCATTAGTTTGCATTTTGAGCCATTTAAGTTTAATAAGTTTACACGGCACCAAGTTTGAAAATTATTGAGATCTGTTTGTATATTTTTAGATTTTTACGCTCTCTATTTTGTGAGAGCCGGCAGAGCGCCATTTTCGTTTGAATAAAAAAATTATCTTCATATTGAAAAACGAATGTATGGTCGTAAGGCATCTTATAGACTCTAATGTCGTTGGCCCGAGTGTCTCTCAATCTCAAAAAGCCTTGAGGTTAGTTCCGATTACATACCACTAATTACTTAATTCAGAGTTGCTGCGCATAAAATTTACCGGCTTGTTTACCTGAATTTGGTATGAAATCCCCCTGACGAAATCCATGAAACTGTCAAGATGTTTGCCCGGAACACCATAAGACTGCCGAGTGCCTCTACTCAAAACATGTCTCAACCATCACCAACCCACTTCAGGCACTTTTAAATCCTGAGGTTATATACTTTCTAGTCTTAAACAAAAACCCCCCACACAGATATTTGAGATCTCAAAACCTCGTGGACAAAAGGGCATATAGACATGCTAAGGACGACCCCAAAAAACTCCTCCTTAAAACCAAACATAAATATTTGGTTGAGATGCTCCTCTATGCGGACCCAACCAAACCGTACGGCTTCAACCTAAAGAAATATACACGGAATATTAAACGGCAGCCTATCCGAAAGATCCCTATAAAAACCAGACAGCACATTGTGTAGGTCTGACTCTGACATTTCTGTAGCTTTCGCGGACGAGCTAGAGAACCGCTTCCAGCCATTTTACCTCGCGAGCCCCGAGGATGTTGAGGAAATTCTTCCCCAGAGCCACTACCGATAAAACATGTAAGCCAAGAAGAAGTTTCTCACCATATTCAAAAGCTACATCATAATAAAGTGCCAGGATTTAATGGCATTGATAGCAGATGCCAAGGCTTTTTTGCCTAAAAATGTTCTTCCAGGTTCTCATTTTGAACTCCATGCCGGGGTATTGGTCATCTTCATAAGCAGAAGTCATTGCTTCCGATCGGTCAATTTCTGCTACTTAAATCGTACCTTCAGGACAAAAGATACATGGTCGGGGGAAAGGCCAAGCATCAAAACTGATGGTGCTCGAAAACGTCCTTGGTCCCGTTTTGTACACTTTGTACACCTCAGATCAGCCATGGCCTGGGAAGACTACTGGCATCCTACACTGACGACACGGTCTTCCTTGTTAACAACTCCAGTTGCCTTGAAGCGTAAAATATCACCTAGGAATTTCTTGACTCATACGGCAAGTGGACCAACAGATTGACCATTGCGGTAAGCGGAAGAAAGTCGCAGCACTATAACTTCAGTTTGAGAGGTGCTTCCCATGGTCAAAACCCCCGACGTCACCATTCCACAATCTTCAGTATAGTACTGGGGTCTGATCCTGGACAAGCGGCTTACCTGAAAGCAGCAGAGAACAAAGATATCAGGTAGATACCGTGCTAAACTTAAGAAGGTTAACTGGTTACTAAAACCAACTAGCATCCCTCGATGACCTATTGATTGCAAATATGGAGCACGGCTTTGACACCAACGTTATGAAGGTGCAACGTGTCCAAAACCGAGCGCTGCGCATGTTTGCAAGGGTGTCCTCTGTCAGGGAGCAAATTATCAAACACTTGAGTCAGTAATGAACGCTATACAGCCCGTACGAATCAGCTAGGAGCATCTCTGGCCGATCCGATGTTTAGTGGGCAACTCAAGCAAAGGCATCCCGGAGAGCTTTGGACAAGAAGACGACACACTTCTCGAGTCCTTAAACTGTAATTACTTGATTGTTATTCACATGTCATAAAAACGTTTATTTCCTTTTCCTGTTATGTTTTCATGCCACATGTACCTATTTTTAAAAAAAGTATTATAACCATTGAGTTGGTTGATTATTGTTAATAAACTTATTTGTGGGAAATGTGGATGATTTAAAAAAAACGTTAGCCCAAAACTAATTTAAAAAAAAACTAGAATAGGTTGCTATTTAGATTTTTCCTTAGCGTAATAGCTTCCTAGTAGCGTTTATTTAAAACTTGTATTAAACAAGTGAGTTGTTAAATTTATTAATCCAATGCAGCGAAATCAGCACTTCACACTGCATTCGTGGGTACGCCCTCACGAAATCGAACAGTAATTATGCTGTTCTCGTAAAGAAAAACAGTGTTGTTTTCGAACCGCTTTTCAAGCTGCGGGTAGGATATATGAATGGTTTTCCCAAAGTTCTGAAAAACTCCCACATTTATATTAAGGTTACAGGAAAAATAAATAAATAAATAATAAAATAAAGGTTGATGATTATCTCGATTGTCTTATCAAGCTTCTTAAACTGTTCGATTGCCTGTTCCTTGAGTTCGTCAACTATTTAATTTTACAGCTGAGCATCATTGTGCACGAAACAGCATATATAGTGCATTCTATTTTGCCGTCCTACTCCCGTCCCGCTTTGGCCATCGCCCGGAACTCTCCAGCGGCAGTGACGCGCCAGCGGGAGGGGACTAGTTAGGAGGACGAAGAGGAGAATGAGGAGAAGAGAAAACAGCGAGGAGCATTTTTAGGTCTTATTATATGTTCTAATATTTCTACTCCCTATCCTACTCATGCCACATACACTTAATAAAAAGAAGGCTAACCGCTTGTAGCGCGTCCTGGCAGAGACGCCTCCTTGTCCTGGTACAAACACGTGGGTTCCCCGGTCGGGGAGGTTAATCTAATTCATGACGATATTAACTGCCCTGGTCCTTGGTTTGGACAAAGTGTCCTGAGCTTTTTTTGACGGCGTGCCTGTGGCCTAGTTCTGCCATCGGTCTCGGCGGCAGCGCTGCCTCGATCCTAAGGCTTCCCGTTCCTATTCCAAGCGTCTCTAGGAACAGCAACCCCGGCCCGATTTCGGGTGGCTGCTTCGTGTTGGTTTTGATAGGGTCGACCTTGCCGATCGTTTGCTCGGCAAATCTGGGCCGGCTCTGCCGGATTTTTAGCTCTGCCAATCTGAGACTCGATCGGGATGCTGGATCTTCCACTCGTTGGCTCTGCCGAGATGCGGCTCGGTCGCTTGTTGGGCTCTGCCCTGTATGTTGGCTCTGCCGGTGTTATGTACATATAATTTATGTGACCTCGTTACAATGGAGAGAAAAATTAGCCCCTTTCGGAGTGAACAATTATCAATAAAATTATTATCAATAATCATTGCTCATGTAAACATGAGCTTAAATTAAATTAAATAATTATTAAAAAATAAATACTTCATATTTTAAAATTAAACAAAATACATTATTAAGATTAATTCATTAAAATTTATTGTACTACAATTTTTCATCACGTTTCGCTGAAATCACAGCTTAAACTGTTTTTTTGCAAATGTAACTTCTATTTTTGTGGCGTGCGAACGCAGTACTTTTTAGTGAATATCTTAAAAACAAACAAGGGTTCAAAATCGACCTTAGCACCAATTATAGTGCTAACCAAGAGCTATACGTTTCAATTTTTCTAAAATTAAAATAAAGTCTTGGCACATGTGTTTTTTTAGTTTGAATGCGTACGAATGTCGCATTCGACACCAGAGAATTGCCCATATTTAATACATCTTTTGAAAGAAAACTAGTTTTATTAAAAATAGAAAATAGTTGTAGCTTTAGTTTATAGAACAATTAAATAAAAACATGAATTTTGATTAATTGATTCCTCAGTGAAAACAATTGTTTTAAGTTAGCCTAAACATATTTTTTACACACGTTGCAGCACTGTCATAGCTTAGCATATTATTTTGCAATTCCTTTAGCTTTTTAATATGCTGCCTGTGAATTTTTGAATTAACACATTTGTAGTTTACTCCCTTTAGTAGCTTTGAAACTAAGTAGGACAACCATAGAATATTGGTTTTTGGAGAAAAAGAAGCCCAGTTGTTTCTGAAAATAGAAAAGAAAAAAATAATAATAATTCACAATAAAAATAAATTCTAAGGATAATTCTAGGGTTAAGCCCTAGCAGCACAGAGTTCATATCTAGAAATTTTTTGTGTAAATTATGAGACGACCAAGACACTTAAACCGAATATTTAATACGTATTTAGAAAAAATGGCAAGGCCTTCTCAACGACGATCTCGGTGCCGATTACCTTCCTCACCACCGCTCTGGTACATTTGTCACACCATCAGAAGGCCAAGGAGCTCCAGGTATATTGAAGTCCCGCAGGGCCAATAAATGGTCCCTATCTGAAAGGCTTTTGGAAACGGCCCGAATTGCCGAAAGGTGTTTCCAATAAGTTTGATCTTCAGACGATGAAGGGATATACAAACAAGAGATAAAAATAAAACTAGTGGAAATGATAGTTTCACACAAATAAATTCTATATCCGTAAAATCTTCAAACACTACCAGTTAAGGCAGGAGTCAACGGCAATTAAAAATCCACCTCCTCGCTGGAAAAGCCAGTCTAATCTATAAATTGTGTACTTACCCGGAAGAATTTTGGAGCTGAGTATCTTCGGCTTCAACCTGATTTCAATAAAGACAATTACCTGGGATGCCAAAGACTACAGCTTCGAGAGCTTGCTGCGTAAGCCCCTAGTATTCTGATAGGAAAGATAGAAGGGAGAGGCTCGTTTTTGGGACTGAAGGTGCAACGGTAGATACTGTAGCTTGTGCCGGCTTGGGTAGATGTACTCCCACAGGCCGTGTTTTCTTATTTTTTAGCCATGTACATCCGAGCAAATAGAATCAAAGAGTTTGAGAAGACACCTATCTTTAATGAAGAAATGTCTCTGGCATATAAAAATTTACATTTTTCCACCTTGACATTATCGGCTTGGGTTTTGCCTTGGACATTTATTACTTTTATATTAGAAAAACCCAAATTATTTGCATATTAGTTAATTTTTTTTAATATTACTCGAAGAAGAATCACTTATTATTTTTAGTTTTTTTTTACGCGCAGGTGAGCGTAAATAGAAGATTAACTGTAAAGTTTCATTCAGATAACTTCAAAAATGAGAAACTAGTTTGCGTAAAAAAGGACAGACATATGGTACATAAGGTACATAACTTCAAAAATGAGAAACTAGTTTGCGTAAAAAAGGACAGACATATGGTACATAAGGTACATACGGCGTGGAGCATGGGTAGCGTATAACTGCTCCTCAAAGAGCGCCACCCCGGGTTGAAGGCAGGCGAGGTGGAGAAGGACCTAGGTCTGGAAACCATCGTTGACGTCGAGTCTGAAGAGGTCAAATGAAGTTGAGCCCGATACCAATGTCCCTAAGGGTGCTACAGCTCAATCTCAATAAGAGCAAGATCGCGTCGGCGAACCTACTCATTGTCATGGAGCAAGGGTCCGCCGATGTAACTTTAGTCCAAAAGCCATGAATTGCCACGAGCAATGCCGTCGCCGGACTAAAATCCTCAAGCTACAACGCATTTTACCCACAATCGGCAAGCAGATACAGAACCGAAAGACATAGAAAATCCCTAGAGACACATCATGCCCGATATCAAGAAGGGGGCCGACTACCCTGGTGGGACCTTTCGCTACATTGCGTTGGAGAATATTTCAAAATCGCCAAGGAGGCGAAGGATGAGATAATCAACGAGCAGGAAGAAAGAAGAAGGAAATACGCAGGGCGCAAAGAAGATTTTGGAGAAACTTCTGCTTCAACAAAGATACGGCCCTAGAAACGACTACGGAAGTTACTTTCAAAGCAACCCACTATACAGTCAGCTCAAACGTGACGGCGCACAGTGGACTAAGGGCAGCGAAGAGGCGCTAACAGCACCAATGCACGCGCACTTCCCAGGTTGCACAGAGGTCACCGATGCCCACGAGTACCGGGTACTAGCACCTATTGAAGAGCATTTCAGATCTAATATCCTCCAGAAGAATCCGCTGGGCTATAGACTCCTTCGAGGGGATAAAAGCACCAGAACTAAAAGGAATATTTCCAGCCATGCTGTAGGCGACCAAAGAAGTCATATACACAGATTGTCTGAGTACGGGCTATATCCCAATCCAATTGAGGACCTCTTTGATTGTCTTTCTGCCTAAAGCAGAAAAGAGCAGCCACGTTAGTCCCAAAGCCTCACATCATTTTTACTCAAGACGCTAGAAAAGCTGCTGGACATACATCAGAAACAATATGGGCAGACTATAGTTAACCAACAAGCATGCATACACAATAGGTAAATCAGTGGAGACGGTACTACATTCGTTAGTAGCCACCATTGAGAGAGCCCTGCACAATAAGTATATCGCTCAGAGTCTTTGTAGACATATTTGGGGCATTCAACAACGAAAGCACAGAAGCAACAATTTACCACCTAGGAGCGACCAATACACACTCCGCCATCAACATCTGGATAAGAAATCAATAATTTTTGTAGGCGGATACAATCGGATTGAGGCACCGCTTTCACGGTGAAAGGAGCGCACAGAGGCACGCCGCAAGGTGGAGTCCTACCCCCAATGAAATCTAGTGGTCGACGACCTTATCAAGACGTTCGAGACGAAGGCCCCGAAGATACCAGCGTATGCTGACGGGAGTCAGCTTATCAACCCTTAGCTCGATTATGGAATCAACACTCATTGAGATATGTGAGAGGGCGAACAATGTAGGACTCAATATCAACGCCAACAAGACGGACATCATTCTCTTCACTAAGAGATACAACGTACCGCTATGGATCCCCCCAAAAATCAATACAACCAGGCTGACTCCGAAACACACGTCAAATACCTCGGCACTGTACTAGACAGCAAGCCGGCAGGGAAACCCAATGTACTAGAGAGGGTAATCTCCTTGCTAAATAATTGACGTTAAACGTCGATCCACTTCAGTATAAATAATTTGTTGGTACGCTTCTTTTTTTTTGTTGTTCCAAGATTAAATATTGGGGATCCCTTAAGTCACTGATGCTTTCAGTCGGATAATCTATTTTAGTATGCGGGAATTTCGGCAAGTGGTCAATGTTTCTGTGTGCTTAAACAACCCAAAACAACCGGATCATTTAAAATAAAGACAGTGACTTTAATTTTGGAAATCTTATTCGGTTTTACACATTCCTGATTTTGTTTTGTGTTTCGTTTTCTTGTACACTTCGTTTACAGCTAAGTGTTATTTTTATCACAAATGTTTTGCATATGCTAAAAATCACTGAAAGTCATAATTTTTCAGCGGAAAGACAAACGCTTTTATATTTGCTTTCTTTGCTTTCAGTTTAATCGGTTTCTGCGACACGGTATTATACGCTAATTGTCGTAACGGCCTCAAATCAATAATTCGTAAAAAATTCTGTCTCCTTGAAAAAAACTCGTTAATTCGTAAAAATTCCATACATTTTGGTCCCCTCGTTAATTCTTAATTTTGCAAAGAATATTGAACCTCTTATAAATCGTAATTTTGTTTCGTAACCTCTTATAAATCGTAATGCGATGTGAAATTTTTTGTAGTTAAAGCACCGTTATATTTTGCAGACAGCTATGCCGCCTTTGTCGCTATGCATTATGAATTTTGTGTTTCTCTCGCTGTTTTCATTTAGTTTGCTGATTTTTTTCGGAGAGTAACATTGTTCTGTGAAAATGTCACAAAAAACGTACGCAACAATTCTGAAAGTGACGAGGATGATAACGCCGATGGAGAAGAAATTTTAACGAATTTACAAGCCAGAGCGTTAATTCCTCAACTTAAACATTATATTTCGACCCATGATGTGCCAAATATGTATATGGAAAAGAGAAAGTTTTTCTGTTACTCCCCGAAAATAATTTTAAATAGAATATAAATGTGCAAATAGTCAAGCAAAATATCAATTCTGAAAGTTAATTTATAATAAATAAAAATGTATTACAAATTTGAAACCAGACTTAAAACGCAGAACGCGAAAACACTCGCAATTAAACCAAAGAGGAACGAAAAAATTTATTGATTGATGAATAGTCGCTTCAATTACCAAGCCCAATTTTTAAAATAAAAAAATTGTGAGGTTGTGGATAGGAAGCTTGGAATGCTGAAGGAAAGGCTTTGTGGGTGGAACCAATCGATGTTGTGACATCGCAGCGGGTGCTGAAAGTTTATGAGCTGAGCTTCCTGATATTCTAAATTGGATCTGGTGTGTGTGTGTGCCGAAAGCAGCATTCTTGTAGGGGGGCGATCCTGCCGCTAAAGATCCTGGAAAATGTAGCAAAGAGTGGGCGCGGGAGCGCTTAGACCAGCCCGATGAGCAGTGCGCGAAGAGCCGACTTGCGGGAGTGCAAGAGCGGCCAAAGCTTTGGAGGCTCGGTGGACAGAGGCGGCGCAGCGGCCGCCGCGAAGGGCCTTCTGACGTGAACATTCTCCCCCCCTTGCAACAACTCGGGTTGCAACATATTCGTCCTGTATAAGCACTGCCGCGTTCTGCAGGGTGTCCTGGCTAGCGGCGGAAATTGCCTATGCGCACCGGAGTGGAGCGGTGGACGGAGGCCGTGGAGTGGCTGAGGAGGGCGGGAGAGAGGCCCAAGATGGAAGGGGACGTCGACGTCGGTAGCGGATGAAGTGCGGTGGCAACCTCGGAATCGGTTGGATTGGACCTCTGATCAGAGCGTTCGCATGGTGCGAAGCGGTGGCATCTTCTCGAAGCGGAATGGAAAAAAAATGTATCATTTAGAAGAGCGGTCAGTAAATAAAGCGAATTGGGAGCACTGAGTCATCCGATGCTGCGATCGGGGTGCGGGAACTGGACTTCCCGGCATATGCAGGAGCGTGTGGTGATGCTGATTGCACGTCTTGCATCGGTCACCACTGCGGCACTTGCCTTGGGAATGTTCGTGGGCCAAACAGTTGGAACAGTAGCGGTTGGTGGACACCGCGCTGAGCCTCTTCTCAGCACTAAGCCTGAGGAACTTGTGGCATTTTCGAAGCGGATGGATTCCGCTGCAGACT